CTTTCTTTCTTTCTTTCTTTCTTTCTTTCTTTCTTTCTTTCTTTCTTCCTTCCTTTCTTTCTTTCTTTCTCTTTCTTTTTTCTTTCTTTCTTTCCCTCCCTCCTTCTATCTTCTCTTTCTCCTCCTCTCCTCCACTTTTCTTCCTTCCTTCCTTTCTTTCTGTTTCTTTCTTTCTCCTCCTCTTCTCTCTCTCTCCCTCCTTTGTTTCCCTGTCTGTCTGTCTCTGTCTCTCTCTCTGTCTCTGTCTCTCTCTCTCTCTCTCTCTCACACACACACACACATACACACATACACACACACACACACACAAACAAACAAACAGAAACACATACAACTCTGCCTATCAAGTGAAGTCTGGCATTTAAGTCCCTGCCATTCCACCCCTGCCCCCCCCACCCCTTTCCCCTTCCTTCCCACTCCTGTCCTCCACAGACCTGATCCATCCCAGGCAACCTTTGCACTGCTCAACCCTTCCAATGCTCTCTATCTTTCACATACACTCTTCAGTCTTGTATGAGTGACTGGCTCTTCCCTTTCTGTATCTTAAAAATAACTTATTAAATTATAGAATTCTTCAAAGAAAAGACTTTTCCTTCTTTTTCTCCCCCTCTCACCTATGCTGGAGGATTATTTTCCCCCTCCTGGAAAGTTTATGAATTCATCAAGCAAATCATGAGATCAGAGAAGCCAAAATGGACTTTAAAGGTCTTTGAGTCCATTTCCCCTTATTTTTGCAAATGATGAAACTGCTGCCCAGAATGAAGAAGCTGACTTGTCCAAGATCATATAGGTGTCCGAGGTGGGATCTGAATTCAGGTACTCTGCCTCCTAGAGCCAAGATACCTTCTTTCAGCAGAGACTAAAAACCCATTCAAATCCCTCCTCTGACTCTTGCTAGCTGTGTAACCCTGGAAAAATTATGTTGGCTCTCTGAGTCTTAGATAACTTCTTGGGACTTACCCACTAATCTACAGGTAGTTTGGGAATATCACAGAACCTAATCTTTTAGTAACTCTCTCCCAAGGTCACACAGTGAAGTGGTAGAATCAAGATTTGAACCCAGGTCTCCCCCTGGTTAAAGGAGATTTCCTTGAGGGCAGGGGCTATTTTTGCTTTGCTTTGTATCTTCAGGGCTTAGCATGGTTCCTGGCACACAGTAGGTACCTAATAAATGCTTCTTCACTGGCTATCTCTAAATTCAGGATTCCACAAATGAACTGAAACCATGAAGAAGAGAAGGAACTCCTCCCAACACTTTTCATTCATTTTTTACATTTTATTTTATACCTTGTCACATAAGCCTTTGCATGCTTCATCTAAGAAACGTAAGAACCGTATGTCTATGATAAGTTGGTTCATCAAAGACCTTCAGAAGCATCTTCTTTGGACCACAGACGTCCCAAATTCTCTGTAATCCATGGCAGTGACCCACATCTGCTTGAAGCTGCTCAGCGATGTCACAATGGAGGCCCCAATCCAAGTGGAGAACCATCGATCAGGAGGAGCTGTTATCTTTATGGAGATGTCCTTTGGGGCTTGCTCTTCTATTTCTTTCATCAGCCGATCATCCAGTCCAGGGAACAGGGAAGAACCACCAGAAAGAAGAATATCCCCAAAGAGACATTGCTGTATGTCAGCATCACATTTCAGGATACTGTTAGAAACCATTTTGGAAAGCCCTGGGAGGTGTATGCCAAGCTGTTCTGGGGCAAAGAGAATCTCGGGTCCCTGGAACAATTGGTCTCCAAAACGGATGACATTCCCATCAGGAAGTTTGTAATCTCTCATGACTTCCTCAGGTCTCCTGCTCAGCTCTTTCTCCGGATCTAAGGCCACATAGCATAGTTTTTCCTTGACATCATCCACCAATCCTTTGTCTAGAACACAAGGGAAAGATCTTCCACTGTTTATCAGCAGTTGCAAGAGATACTCAGTAATATCCTTCCCTGCCACGTAAAGTTTGGAAACTGCATGAGGCAAGGAATACCCTTCAAACACAGGGACTGTGCAGGTGACGCTGTTGCCGCTGTCCACCACTAGCCCCGTGACACAGGCTGAAGCATAGAGGGCCAAGACTGCTTGGTCAGATAGGTAGAAAGCTGGTACTTTGAAGCTCTCAAACATCATCTCTGCTGTTTTCTCCCTATTGTTCCTGGGATTCAGAGAAGGCTCTGTCATGAGCACTGGTCTCTCAGAGGGCTTAATCCCAAGGTCCCAGTCAAAGAGATGTCTCCAGAGTTTTTCAATGTCTTCCCAAGAGGTGATGATGCCTCGCTCAATAGGATATTGTAAAAATAAGGACTCTGCCTTGTACAAGGCCTCTTCTCCAACATAATACAGCTTCTGATTCTGCCCTGAGCCACCCATTTTGAACCTGGGATGTCCGACAACCGTACTGATGACATGCCGAGGACCAATCTCCCCTGACACACCAGCCTTGCATAGCCCTGACCCGTTGTCAAAGATCACAGCCGGAGTCTCTAACATGTGTGGGTTAAACATGCTTGGCTCATTCTCTGCTCACCCTATCTCATGCGCTTGCTCGCTAAAATCAAAATGATTTTTTTCTTCCTTCCCTTTATTGCTTTATGACAACTGAAAAGCTCTTAGAATGTTGGTGGACCCAAGGTTCTGGAGTCCCTGCCGTGTTAGCACAGAGATGGGTTGGCCAGTCCAGAGAGCTATGGAGGGGTACTCATCTTTGAAAGGTTGATCCAGTTCCCTTTAGGCAGTTTGGGGGCTGGACCTTTTCAAGGCTGATTCTTCCCTTATGTAACAATAAAGACTAGGCAACCATTCTCCTGGGAAACTTTCCTCTCCCCACCCCTGCCCCAGCCTATTGTCAGAGAGGAGTCAGATTCAGACCAGTGATGCTCAACAGACCTCAAACAGCTCTCCTGGTTTGCTATGAAAGTATCTCAGAGAACGCCATTGAGCTGAGGAAAGGTGGGCAGGCCCTCCAAACAACCCAATCCACAAGTCACCCAGGAAGTTTTTGTAAAGGTCCCTGTCCTCAAGGACCCTACTATCATGATATGCATACACATGAAAAGATAAATCATAATAAAAGACAAGTATATCAGAAAAGTCACATCATTTTGTGTGTTGGAAGGGACCTCAGAGGCCATTTTAGTCTGACCCATACTCTAAAGGAATTCCTACTGTAACATACACATTCAGTGGCCTCCCAATCTCTGCTTGAAGACTTCCAAGGGAGGAACCCTGTTAGGACTCATATGTCCATTCTGAGCACCTGAATTACCCATATTTTTGTTAAAGGATGCTGGGAAACATAAAAGAAAAAAAAAGATTCAGGGATGTGGGTTCAAGCCCTGACTCTGATACTTCTTGGCTGTGTGGCCATGGTTAAGTTTATTGACCTCTCTGAGCCTGAGGTAAAGATGCTTATATAATTGTTGTTGTTCAGTCATTTTTCAGTGGTGTCCAACTCTTTATGACCCCATTTGGGGTTTTCTTGGCAAAGATACTGGAGTGGTTTGCCATTTCCTTCTTCAGCTCATTTGACAGATGATGAAACTAAGGCAAACAGGGTGAAGTGACTTGCCCAGGGTCACACAGCTAGGAAGAATCTGAGACCAGATTTGAACTCGGGAAGATGAGTCCTCCTGAATCCAGGCCCCGGGCTCTCTATCCACTGTGCCACCTAGCTGCTTCCCCTCAAAACAACCATGTGAGTTTCATAGTATGAACATAGCCATTCCCATTTCACAGACAAGTAAACTGAACCTCAGAGAGGTTATATCTAACTTGCCTAGTGTCACACAATTCAGAAATTTCAGGAGTCAGGATTTGAACCCACATCTCCTGACCCCAGATACTGTACCACAGTGTCCCACCCTCCTCATTCATCTACTTAAATCCTAAGGAAGCCTGAATGAAAGGCATAGTTGGGTTCTGGTTGGTTTCAAATCTTTATTTTTCTTTAAACTTTGTCCAGCTACCTCAAACACCAATGGCGGTGGGCGGCTTGCAGGTAATTCACTTGTCCGCAGCTTCCTGAGACAGACCCCTCTGATCTCTTGAGATTCCACTTGTACATATGTGGGGGGGTGGGGGTGGGGAGGAGTCTCTTGCTCTTATTAGAAACATTTCCGGTGAACCATGGTGGGGCCAAACTCCTTGTAGTCCGTAGAAGTGATCCACATGTGTTTGAAAGATGTGAGTGACGTGAGGATGGAAGCCCCGATCCACACACAATACTTTCGTTCTGGTGGGGCGATGATCCTGACCGAGATTCCCTCAGGAGCCTGGAGCTGGATCTCTTTCAGAATCCGCTCATCCAGACCTTGGAAGAGTGTGGAACCTCCAGAAAGCAAGATGTTACTGTAAAGATTTTTCCGAACATCAATCTCACATTTTCGAATACTGTTAAAGAGCATCTTGTGGACCCCGGGAGCTTCAACACCTATGTTCGCTGGCATAAACAGGGTCTCAGGGGCTCTGAAGAGCTGGTTGCCAATCTTGATAATGTTCCCATCCGGCAACTTATACTCTTTGAGGATTTCTTCTGACTTAATTTTCATGGCTTGGATGGGGTCGAAGGTCACGTAGCACAGTCTCTCCTTAATGTCTTTCACTATCTCTCTCTCGGCAGTGCTCACAAAGGAATGTCCACTTTCCAACAGAAGTCTCATGAGGTACTCGGTGATGTCCCGGCCCGCAACATCGAGTCGGGAAACTGCGTGGGGCAAGCAGTAGCCCTCGTAGATGGGTACGGTGTGGGTGACCCCATCTCCACTGTCCATGACTATCCCTGTGGTCCGAGCTGAGGCATAGAGGGCCAGCGTCGCTTGGACCCCCACGTACATAGCGGGCACCTTGAAGCTTTCAAACATAATCTCTGTCATTTTTTCTCGGTTCTGCAGAGGGTTGAGTGGAGCCTCTGTCAGCAGGACCGGGTGCTCGTTGGCCTGGACTCTTAGCTCGCACTCATAGACATGCCTCCAGATATGTTCCATGTCATCCCAGGAAGTCACTATGCCATGATTGATGGGATAGTTCAAGGACAGCACCCCTCGCTTGGACTGTGCCTCTTCTCCTACATAATACTCCTTCTGTCCAGCTCCCAACATGGTGGCTTTGGCTTTGGAGCGGCCAACGATGGCGGTGATGACTGACCGGGGGACATTATCCCCAGCAATGCCTGCCTTGCACAGTCCAGAACCATTGTCAAATATCACAGCGGGGACTTCTAGGACTTTGGCGTCAAGCATGGTCAGGGAGATTTTACTCCCAGGTGAGATGGCTTTGGGTGAAAATTAACTGGCTGGAAGTTTAGGAGGCTTGAAGTTCTAGACTGTTTACATCACACAGGGCCAAAGGGACTTAGCTGGAGTCTACTACATTGTTGCCCCAAGCCTAGACTGTTTCCTAGGGGACTTTCTCTTTCTGGTTTCTCTCTCTGGTTTCAGATTTCTGTCCTCCAGGACTCAATAATGGGTGATGAAGTAACAAAGCTTTGGGTGACAGGGAGGTAAGACACAGGCATGGTCAGACTTTATCTGTCTGTCAAATCCAGGGAAGACCTCCTCTTGGGAGCATGTGTGTGTGTGTGTGTGTGTGTGTGTGTGTGTGTGTGTGAGAGAGAGAGAGAGAGAGAGAGAGAGAGAGAGAGAGAGGCTGTTGTCCCTACAATGGGGTTTAGTTATCTGCAGGAGTTTTATCAATTTGCTTAGGAACTTTCTTTTTCTTTCTTTCTTTCTTTTTCTTCTTCCTTCCTTCCTTCCTTCCTTCCTTCCTTCCTTCCTTCCTTCCTTCCTTCCTTCCTTCCTTCCTTCCTTCCTTCCTT